ATATATATATATATATATATATAGTTATTTATGGGTTGCATCTGTTCATATATGAGTGTATGTAAAAGAAGTGTTATATCCATTGCACATGGTCTGCATGGAGTCTAAAGGTCATAGACAACAGATAACAGATAATGGGTCTCTTCTCAGGTAGACTTCATACATCAAGAGAACGGTTTCAAGATGCTTGATCCCTGAGCACTAAAGGTATGGACACATTTTAGTCTATAAAATGTATTACAAGTCATTCACTACTTAATAAATCAGTACATTTAACAGGACTAAGCATGTAATATATAATATTTATATATTTAAATATTACTTTATTTGTATCTTATTTTACTCGTATATCCTACACCATTTTTCTAAAAACTGGAAAACAGGAAATTTCTGAAAGAAACCATAACTTAAAAGGATAAAGCAAACTTAATAACTGGACTTGGCCATGTGGGACACTGAATCACTCTAAAGGCCCATTCACACAAAGGATGAAAACTATAACAGAAATATAGTGTAATACAATAGTTTTAAAAATCGTTCTAATTTCTAGGAAAATAGCAAATTACACACCACCACTTTAATGATAACAACACAGAGGAATGATCACATGAATGATAAAATTGTTGACCGCAAATCAGAATGTATCCGACTTCAATGCAACTAAATAACCACGGTATCGTCCAGTGGTGTGAACGCTAATATAGTTATTTTGTTATTGTTATTTATTAATTATTTTGATCATTATTGGTGTGAAAAGACATGGAGATGTACAAATTCGATGCCAATCCAAAATCATTTCTATGTGAATGTTTTTGTTTAAGTACAGTATGTCCGTTAATTTTAGTTGACTATGAAAAACAGTTTACGGTACCTGGCTGCAGGATGTCTGACTCTGGAAAGTCATCAAAGTTGGACGTATCATCGATGCTCTTGATGTCAATGGAAATAGCAGCAGGTCTCTCTCTGGGAGAAGGTAAACCGTTCAGTTATCAATCTATGATAATGCTTACTAAAAAAAAAAGGCTTGATTACATTAACGTTGCCAAAATAAAAATTTTATTTGTACTGTTTATCAACAGTGATTTTGCAGTTCTGATGATGCAAGGAACACAGAAAAGTGTGTGCGCAGAAGTACCTGATATGCTCCCAGTCTACAGACTCAAAGAACTGGTGAGATTTGATTTCATCTACACTTCCCGATCCAATCCTGTTTTCTGCATCTGTGCAATACCTGAAAACATAGTCAAACAGTTTGGTCAGATCAAACTGCAAATTATCTCAAGTAATGAAAAGCTAGTTTTTGAAAGCGGTGGCACTCTTTACTTGAGGGAAACAATCACCTTAACCTCAAAAAGTTGTGTTTTCGAATTGTCAATCGACTCCTTTCTTCTATACAGTTTGTTACATATATGGAAATATTTCTGACCTAAGGATCAAGTCCTTTGCTCTCTCTGAAATGGGGACTTCAGGGGGGAAAGTTAACGTTTCTCGCCAGTTCATGACCTTCCTGTAGGTTTCCTGTGGCGTCTCGGAACAGAAGGGTGGGTAGCCTGGAACAGGAAAACAAAACAAACACCTGTTTTATCTCAGGAAACGGCTACAGTAAAAGGCTTTTACAGAAAGAAAGGACTGGCCTGATATGACCCGTTTACTTAGTGTTTAGTATCTGAAATTACTAACCTATCAACATCTCGTACATTATCACTCCAAGAGACCACCAGTCACACAGCTTGTTGTAGCCCGTCTGTATGAATACCTCAGGGGCGATATAGTCTGGCGTCCCGACGGTTGAATATGCCTGTATATGAAAGGAATGGAATCTCTGATACTACCAGGAAATTTCTGTTTTGTAACATAAAGAAACACTCTCCTACCAGCTGTCTTCGGTTCTTCTTCCATGTTTCTGCTTTCCGTTTTGAATTCATGTTTTGGAAGGCTAAAGGAGGTGGAAACAGAGCAAATATGGTTAATTAGGGCCATATATATATTTTTTTTTATATTTCATTTTTGCCTACAGGTTCACTTAAATTATTGAAATTAATTTTCAGCCAATCACTTCAATATTTGTGATTCTTCATATGGATATGCAGAGCAGTAGGTGCTACACACAGCACAGGACTTGCTGAACTTTACCAAATTTTTTCCTTATTGATAATTCTTTTATCCTTTTTCGTCAATATGACTGGGAAGATAAATGTTCTGAATACAGATGTATAAATGTGAGAAAGTTGCAGAAGTTTTAAACAAGACGTTTTTGAACTTGGACTAGGATGTTACTGTATGACTTTTCCAGTTGTTTGTGATTTACTGAATAAGGATAAAGGAAAATGATTTAAAAAAATAATATTTACACACAATTTCTACCTAATAAAATATTTTAAAACTTGGCATAACTAGAAAAATCTCTAATCATTACAAAAATACACATGGAATTTCTTCATTTCCATGACTTTCCCAGGTCTACAAATCTCACTTTAATACAAGCTTTTCTCAAATCCTGGTTCTTCAAAAATGGAATTCAAATAAGAACAATCTTGATTTTTTGTTGTTGTTTTATCTCATTGTAAATATTTGTATTTTACAACAATTTGGATGTGTATTGTTTCTCTGTGTAATTCGTGTGCGTGTGTTACTCACAGAAGTCACTGGGAGGGTTATGTGTGAGGTTCCTGTAAAATTCAGTCCGATGGGCTTTCTTCAAGCCTGTGCAGAGGCCAAAGTCAGACAGTTTGACATGGCCCTACAAAACAAAGACAGTATGTTATGTGTTCAGTTTCATAGAGTACAATAGCCTTCCACAAACCTATTCATCTCCGTTGAACACAGTGACCATGTTATACTGTTTGTGTGCGAGTAAATAAGAGATAAAAGGCGAATTCCCACCCGTGAGTCGAGCAGCAGGTTGTCAGGTTTGATATCTCTGTGAATGAAGCCCAGCTGGTGAATGGAGTCAATGGCCAGGACCGTCTCTGCAATATAGAACTGCGTAGCTTCTTCCGACAGCGTGTCTTTCTTCATCAGCAGAGTCATCATATCTCCTGAACACACACACACAAGAGTTACGGCCTCTGGGCAGCTGCTCTAAAAATAGGACTTTCCATAGTGCTGCTACGAGCAGACTGCCTTTTCCAGTTCTAGATCCCTAACTGCTACATCAGTAAAGAACATGTGACATTTTATACATCTCTCTTCACCTCCAGGCAGAAACTCCATGATGAGATACAGATTGCGTTTATCTTGAAAGCTGTAGAACATCTTCACTACCCAGGCGCCATCAGCCTCCACCAGGATATCTCTCTCGGCCCGGATATGAGCCACCTGCCCCAGGGAGGAATACAGGTGAGAGATATTATCAGTGGATCGTCATGACAGACAGGTGACTGAATTAAATAAAATCCATACCTGTTCTTTCTCTAACATGTCTGATTTCCTGAGGATCTTCATGGCATAAATGTGACCCGTGTCCTTTTTCTGAACCAGGCGGACCTAAATGCCACACAAAATAAGGATTTTTGGAGAACCGACTAAGATTTTCAATGAAATAAGTAAATTTTGCTTCACAGTGACATCAAAATCCTTCCAGTTCCTCCAAAAAAAGCAAAGAAAAGTCAATGAGGATGAGTACAAACCTGTGTATTTCTTGCTGACTAAAACTAAAAATGTAAAACTAACAAAAAATATTGAAATGTTGCCTTGAAAACTAACTGAAATAAGTTTAAGTACTAAAATGACTAAAATCAATATTAATATGATTTTAATATTAAAATCAATATTAAAATTAGAAAAAAATAAAATAAAATGATTAAAACAAACTAATATATATATATATATATAGTACATAATACAAAAGTATCACTGTTACAAACACAATGGCTTTTTCAGATCTCAGAGAACTGTATAACTAGACAACTTCATGGAAAAAGGCAATACTAGAATGCACTGTACATGCATCCAAAATAGTGGAAAGGTTCAAAGAAAGTTTATAAACATACTTGTAGTTTATTTAATACCGACAAATCCCTATAAAACAGGTCTATGTTTATTATTAGAGTATTGTGTTGTTAATGTCAAACTCTATTGCAATCAATTGTGAGTCAAGTCTCCATGAGGAAGTGTTATTTCATAACGATCATTTATGAGCTTTCAATTTATCTGGTAAAACGGTAGACGTCTATAGACACACCTCTCCAAATGCTCCTCTCCCGATCACTTTGAGGGACTCAAAGTCATCGAGACCAAGGCGGGTCCTCTTGAGCCGCAGAAACTCGGTCTCCTTACGAGCGTGCAGAGAGCGCCTCATACTCTTCTACAACAAAAATGCAAACTACTCAGGAACATATTTTGAATCAAATGCAACAATACTCTTTTGGGCGCACATCAAGCATCACTGGCGTACTCAAAGCAGTCTGAGTCCTATTCAAACCACTACGCAGATAAGCAAAACAGGTTTTTTGTTGACACATATGTGATTATTAACTCAGGCAGTCATTTAGAATATAACTCCAAATAGCTCTAGGGTCAGTATATCTTCTCACCTCTTCATCAGGTAAACCCTCCTCATCCATCACCATCTCCAGCTTCTTCTGCCTAAGACAGAGGGAACCGCTGCATCATGACCAGCCACAACAAATCAGCTTTATTCTAATCTAATAATAATTGTCTGAAATGACACGTTGAGTGATGTAGTTAGGGAAAACAGGTGTAGTGGGTTACCTCATCTCCCGCTCCTCGTGCTGGGTGAGCAGGGTGCTGTAGAAGTGCTCCAGCGTGAGTTTGGCCACCGTGACTCTCTCACGTGTGTGGTTACTCATCGGGAGCGGCGCTGCCATGCCTCCCGTCATGGCCATGCTAGTCTGGAACAGGAATATCATTTGCAAAGCAGAGCACTCGGAATACAAATTAATGCAACTCCATCAAAAAGCCTTACTACCACACAAACCATATGTGCAGTATACCTACATGTGTATATGAAAAATGTGAATAATTACAGCAATAATTAATTGATTAATCAGTATTTATTGCAAATTCTATTATTTTTAGATAACATCAACATAATTATTAATAATAATCATCAACACAGCATCATCAGTGACCAGCAACAGTAAAAATATAGCAAAATAACTTTTACTAAATCAAGGTTGGTTATTATAGGTAACTAAAACTAAAACCATAAAAATACTGTTCGTGAAAATAAAATTATTTCAACTAGTTTCCAAGGGAACATTTTTTCCACTTTTGATGAGCCAAAACAACTAAAAAAAAAAATGAAATTAATAAAAAAAAACTATATAGACATATAAATAATAATAATAATATTAAAAAAACTAAGTAAAAATTATAATGTAATGATACTAAAATAACACTGTCGTAAATTTTAAAAAAGCGGCCAAATGGTTCATCAATTACTGGTAGGAAAATGAAAAAACCCGGAGTAGAGTTCGAAAGTGGTGATTTCAGAACGCTTCGAGTCGGATGAAGAATTCTATTCTGTCGCTCCGTTCCATTCAGATACGCAACTCCAGGCCGGTGTTTATTCTGTGCGTTGCTGCTTGTATTCACGCGAAACTTGACGGTTTGGCTTTTTTGTATCATTTTCGTTGGCAGAGACGAATTATACCAACTAATTGACCCATTTTTGCCAGAAAAGTAAGTTACTCGAGATTAATTTCTTATTTTTGAAAGCGTCTTAAAGGCAATATCACGGAAGCAAGAGTGTTGTTGTTCTGAATATCAAATACTTGCAGTTTTGTGCCTTAAAGCCGAATCGCAGCCGCGCAGTTTTCAGTATAACAACAGCCTAATTAGCATCGTTAATGTCTAAGCATTGTTTGGATGTGAAATGTAGGCTACCCGCTCTGGACTGAGACGGCTCCTGCACCTGCTCATGCTCATGCTGCGGTCACTGATGTTCAAATGAATGTGCGAAAAGCAAACTTGATTTGAGCGCGCTCGGCCTCGCGTCTGCGTGCGTGACCTTGCGGACGTGACATGCATTTTGACAGGTTTATAAAAACAGATGCATTACCCTGGACACTCCACACAGACCACAGCGACACGGTCATATTCACTGAAGACTGAAATCAGCCACGCTTATCAGAAACACAACATCGTGATGGATAGGTGATATATAACAAACCAATATCGCGATTGTTTGTTTAGTCGTCAGACATCTGCTTCTGTATCGTATATTATGAGCCTGCATAAAGCTGGTGATTTACAATAGCGCCGTGATTTATTTCCACCATCATATTTCTATATTCTCACCTCCCCGTCCTCCTCCAGATTAGACAGTTTGCCGGACAGCCGAGGATCAAACTAAGGATGAAATAAAGCCAAGTGAATGGCCGTCAGTTGAGCAGGCGGATCAGAGTTGCTCAGTGATCGCTCATGTTTATTCTCTATTGAGGCTGATGTTTGTTGAGCGCTGCGCTGCATCTGATCCTCCTCCCCACACGCGCTCACTCTGACAAATCAAGAGTCCCTGACCGCCCGTGACATTTTTCCAAAATAAAAGTTGGCAAGAAAGATTAATACTACAATAGAATAAATGAGATTAATATACATGGACAAAATAGCCCATATATTAACCCCTTCAGACCAAGCAAAGCTGTTTAACTTATATATATTTCCACCCATTTAGTGTATTTCTATTTATATATTTAAATGTTTTGTACATTTTGTAAATATAGTTACCCCAGATATAGATAATAATAATAATGTCATTATTATGCCTTTTATTTTTTTTTACATTTTCTTAAAAAATCCTAAAATGTCATGATCTCCACAAAATATTAAGCAGCAAAAATTAATAATAAGAATAATAATTGAGCACCAATACAATAATTGATATTAATTGACCACCAAATCAAAATATTAGAATGATTTCTAAAGGATCGTGTGACACTGAATACTGGAGTAGTGATGCTGAAAAGTCCAATAAAATTTTTTAATATATTAAAATAGAAAAATAAAATCACAATTTATTACAAAATATTAAGCCACAAGCTTAACACTGATTTCATCACTGATAATAATAAGAACCATTATTGATAATTGAGCACCAATAATAAGTGATAATAATTGACCAACAAATCAGCATATTAGAATGATTTATAAAGCAACACTGAAGGCTGGCGTAAGACTACTGAAAATTCAGCTTTGACATCACAAGAACGAATTACATTAACATATATTTAAATATATATATATTTTTAAATTCTGATAATGTCATAATATTACTTTTTTCTGTATTTTTGATCAAATAAATGCAGACTTCTTTCAAAAACATTTATATGTTTAATATTATATATTCATATAATTACTATTAATATATCTAATATTTAGAATATATATTCCAATGCGATTTAGTACCTCAAGATTTAACATAAGAAAATACTTCACCAGAAAATACTTGGTTCTTTCTTTATTTCAGCATAGATCACTGATGTTCTCCTTTTAACTCAAAAGCATTTTAAAATTAAGTTTTAGGTGTACAGTAAGACACATGGGATTCCTGTAATGCAATATTCACAGTGTCATTATCATTAGCATTTGAAAAGATAACCACATATAATAATACCTGAGCAAAAACACAAATTACAAGATATTTAATGTAAGAAAGTAAACATGACACATTTTTGTAATTTATTCTGACAGAGCTGTATAATCTGTTGTATTAATAATGCATAGTTATAATAATTGTAAAAAAAATTGTTTTTGTGCAAGTTGCAGGACAGACAACTAAAATCAAAGGTTTAAATACAAGACATCTTCAAATTCCCGTAACAACCTCGTTTTCATGTCATAATGGTCATTTTTTAGTCCATAGATCACCTCCGGTGATAAAAGAAAGATGTGAAAAGCCATGCTAACTGTTCCTGTTTTTCACTCTCTCATTTACACACACACACACACACACTCACACCAATAGACTGTGCAATTTTCTTCTGCTTTATATTAGAGATAGTCACATACAGCATACAGCCATAAATTCTCCTCTGTAATATCACAGTTCAGTGAAGCTCAGCTGCTGTTCATCCTTGTCTAGGTCTAGGTCCATCCTCACTGATGACACTGATTTTTCAAACATGTTTTGCTGATGGTTCAGACACCAAAGAGACAAAGCCCAGAACTGTTTAAAAAAATCCACAAACTTTAAAATGTAATGAGTAATGCTACTTATAATTAATGTTGACTTTGCACTGTAGAAAAATAATGTGGTTCAGCATAGATCACTGATGTTCTCCTTTTAACTCAAAAGCATTTTAAAATTAAGTTTTAGGTGTACAGTAAGACACATGGGATTCCTGTAATGCAATATTCACAGTGTCATTATCATTAGCATTTGAAAAGATAACCACATATAATAATACCTGAGCAAAAACACAAATTACAAGATATTTAATGTAAGAAAGTAAACATGACACATTTTTGTAATTTATTCTGACAGAGCTGTATAATCTGTTGTATTAATAATGCATAGTTATAATAATTGTTAAAAAATAGTTTTTGTGCAAGTTGCAGGACAGACAACTAAAATCAAAGGTTTAAATACAAGACATCTTCAAATTCCCGTAACAACCTCGTTTTCATGTCATGGTCATTTTTTAGTCCATAGATCACCTCCGGTGATAAAAGAAAGATGTGAAAAGCCATGCTAACTGTTCCTGTTTTTCACTCTCTCATTTACACACACACACACTCACACCAATAGACTGTGCAATTTTCTTCTGCTTTATATTAGAGATAGTCACATACAGCATACAGCCATAAATTCTCCTCTGTAATATCACAGTTCAGTGAAGCTCAGCTGCTGTTCATCCTTGTCTAGGTCTAGGTCCATCCTCACTGATGACACTGATTTTTCAAACATGTTTTGCTGATGGTTCAGACACCAAAGAGACAAAGCCCAGAACTGTTTAAAAAAATCCACAAACTTTAAATTGTAATGAGTAATGCTACTTATAATTAATGTTGACTTTGCACTGTAGAAAAATAATGTGTTCTAGTCTAGTCAACTCATATTATTGCTAATAAAAACATGCTGAGTTGAGTGTGTGCATTATAGGTGAGTTTAACAGGTCCTCTGTCATCGACGGATGAGGGCAGAGACTGATAAACAGGCTAGGAACAGCATGATGGACAAGCTGATTACCGCGGCCCCACCGCAGTCCTTAGCATTTTCCTAAAACAGACCAGAGACACAAAATATGCACCAGCGACTATGGAGACAGATAGTAATCAAAAGGCATTGCATGTCTGAAAGCCGTCTAGTATGCATGTGTTTACTTGAGGGTGGTAAGCGTGACAAGACTCAGGCCTTCTTCGCATCTTCTGAGATCTCATGCGGTCACATTTCACTGAGGCATTGTGTGCTCAGTGGTTAAGAAAAATGAAGAAAAAGCAACAAACGAGCATGGCTGTATAGCTCGATCCAGTTCACAAATATATATTTTGAAATATAACACACTTTGTAATCAACTTTAAGTTACATTTTGGGTCGCTTTTAAAAAATGTATAAAAGGTGCATCCAGTAATTTGTGTAAAACATTTCTAAAGAAGTAAATATACTGGTTGCACCTTTAAGTGACTAAACTGATCTCATTCAAAGCTGTGATTCATCTCCTCAGTGTGTGGTCTGTGGAGCCTGATTTAGCTGGGGTTTTAAGGATATATTTGACCTCTTTGGGCTCCATGGTGATGGCCGCGTACTGCCGAGAACAGTCACAGTCTGCCTGAATCACCACCAACAGCAAGTTACTATCAGGAATCTGATTAATTACAAACATCCTGCAGGCAATAAAAGAAAGAGAGAAAGGAGAGAGATTAAGAACAGAACAAAATGTTATTTTGAACAAGGTTATTCAGAACAAAATGACCGTTTTTAAACATTTCAGTAATGCAGATACAGAGTGTGGTGCCGAGTAGACGCTCGTGAAATGAAGTCACGATGACCCCAGGAGGTAACAATAGCAACATATACCAGGCATCCTCAAATCTGGCCCACGAGATCCACTTTCCTGCAGAGTTTAGCTCTAACCCTAATCAAACACACCCGAGCATAGTAATCAATGTCTTCAGGATCATTAGAAAATCACAGGTAGGTGAGTTTGATCAGGGTTGGAGCTAAACTCTGCAGCGCATTGGCCCTCCAGGGCAAGATTTGAGGAACCCTGACATATACTGTAAGACTTGAGCACGTTCCGCTAGAAACTGTACATCGTCCAAACATAAATAAGGTTTTTGTGAAAATATATAGACATTGTACAGAAGTTTGATAAATATTTGTTTGTACCATATTCATTTTTTTTAAGCGCTAAGGATTTAAGGGATGAGGTGCAAGAGGACCATAATACCATGAATAAAGCAATATGCTTAAAACAGCTATTTTTCCTAACATATTACTGTCATATGCTCTATGTTGTTATACTGTAGCTTTATTTTCCAGTATATTATTTGTCTTCACCACTAGAGAGCGTCAAAAAGAAAGGAAACTACGTATGTGAAGACAGTAGAGCTGACTGTGAGCATAGACTTTCTTTTGCTTGATAAACTAATACATAAATGCTGTGTTCCAAACAAAATCCGCCTCCGAGGGGCACTTTGAAGTGAGAACGGTAATGGCCGCCATATTGAAGGGTTGTTATAAATCAAAGTGCTCAAAACTAGCCATATAAAAGGGCCCTTCGGAATGAAGGATTTCAAAGTGTACAACTTCCCTTTGCTCCCATGTTTTTTTGTGCAGGTTTAATTTTCTTAAACCTTAATTGGTTCGGAAAGATGATGCAGAAGTGCATTCCAAGGATTTAAGTCCAAGAACAGCTTAAGGTTCTCATAATTGCAACCTTACATTTTGCAAATCTGACTTGTCAAAAGCTTATTAAAAATATATATATTTAATTGTGAGATATAATCCCTCCCCCCTTCCATCTGTGGTCAAATGATCTATGTGTGTGCTTACTTTTGACATCTCCCACACTTGATCATGCTGTTGGTTTCTTTGATTGACGGCTCATAGACGAAGCTGGGATACTCAGTGTCACAGGGCTGCAGGATGTCCCCCTTTGACTTCTTACTAGCTACAAAACAAATCTACAGTTATCTTTCAAAATAAATTGTGTCCTTTTATTTTTAAATGCCATAAGCTATAGGGTACTTGTATTATACACTTTCAACAACAGTGTGATTTGAATAATCTAGACAGCAATAAAAAAATATGTCACGTTTGATCATGAATAACAACATGACCAAATCTTTCTCTGCTCTCTTTTTCACACACAGCACTAGCAATATCACACACCGTGATGGAGACAGCACTTACATGCATGGAATAAGGTCTTGGCTGTGACACGTCAAGATGAAGAAGGGTTACAGAATTAAAGATATAAGAGAGAAGGTGATGAAGATGAAGAAGGAAGACACAGGAACACCCACACAAACAGGTGAGGAACACAAATGAATGATGAAATGATGGTATTACTTTACACTGAGCTTTTTGCTTTACACATACCCTCCGCAAAGGGATCTGAGTGCCACAGACTGTAGATGTTGAAGTCCAGTAAAAACCTGGCAGAGAGAAAATGTCTGATTTTACAAGGGATGAACTGAGTCACCGATGCTTTGAAGCGCAGAAAATGTTCTAACAAACAGCCACACTTACAACAGGAAGTTCGACAGGAACCATCTCAGTGCTGCCAAAAGATTATAAAAGGGCTGAGGGAGGAAGAAAAGCAGAACGAGGGAAAAAAGAATGAAGCTGGCATCCTTTCATTTCAATTACACTGAGAATTTCCGTTCAAGAACTTGTGACAGAAACCATATATCTCATCTTTTTTGCTTTACACCAGGGTTGTCAAACTCAATTCCTGGAGGGCCGGAGCCCTGCAGAGTTTAGATTCAACCCTAATTAAACACACCTGATCCAACTAATCAAGTCCTTCAGGCTTATTTGAAAACTACATGGTATGTGTGTTTAAGCAGGGTTGGAACAAAACTCTGCAGCACTCCGGCCCTCCAGGAACTGAGTTTGACACCCCTGCTTTACACCATCACAAAGGGTCATGGTGTGAAGGCCAAGCCTTTATCTAGATCAGCTGTGACCTGTGACCTCCACCCATACACAGTGGATTGCAAGAACAGCAATGTAATGCTTTACAAGTAACACTGATAGCATCTGATGGTTGTGTTCTGGTAGACGTTATTCAAACAGACAGGACAATGCTTACACTTAGCAGGGGTCGAGCGCCGCTAGCGTAGTGAGGATTCACCTTACACATGGCCTGATAGTCATAGAGTAACACTCTGTGGAAAACATGCAGTGACAGCATTTACACCTTAATGCATTACGTCACATTTTGAAGTGTTTCGGAACACACAAAAAAGTTCTCGTACCTTTTGAACATGCCCATTTTCAAGAGCTGTGACATCACCGACCCATCAATTTTCCCCAGAAACCTGCCAACCTACAGAGAATGCAGAGACACGTGGCTTTGAGACATTGTAGTTATTTATTATTTATTTCAACAGGATCTCTTTCTGGGTCACAACAGGAACAATGACAGCTCAGAATGAATGAGTCTGTATTAGTTCTTTTTTACATAGGGATGCTGACTTTACTGTTCAATAAAGCACTGAAATCAAATTTTAAACAGCATTTGGGCTCCGTAAGACTGCAGGCCCACATCAGAGTCAGCGTTTACTGCACCCAGTATGCTGAATTATTCAGATAACCCCTGTTATCCCTCCCCTCCTCTATATTTACCCTGATGATGCACTCTCTCATAGGACCGCTACTAATGATGGAAAACACCTCATGCATTTATTCATTATTCATTTATTCATTACCACAGTCACCTTCTTATGCTGAGTCAACGTCAAATAGAGCTTTTTTTAATCTGTGTTATTCACAGCATAAAATTCCTTATTTAGGACCCGTTTTATTTCATGACTTCATTAACTTTTTTTATTTATTTTTTTTGACCGTGACCTGTTTTCAACTGAACCACTTAAACGGCACTCTAGATTAAATTTTACTGCGTGTCATTCCCCATCTTAACCTAATTCTCCAGGGCTTTCAATGACTGCAAACAAACACTAAAGAGGAATTTTTTTAACGTTTATATTTTTCCATTTTTCCAAGTCTTTAGAATTTCTAATAAAAAGTAAATTAATAAATCAATAATAATTTCTAAACCATAAACTAAATTTAGATAAAAACACAGAATATATATACTTTATATAAATAATTTAAGAATATATATATCACACACACACACATAGTTTTTACTTTTATATTTTTACATTACAGATGTTTGGGTTGTGAATGCCATTTCATGTTGACCTTAACCTGTCACTTTAAGTGCTCTTACATCAGTCCTGTCCTTAGAGATGATGATGAAGCCATTACTGTCAATGACGTAGCAGTTAACATCCTGCACACAAATACAAAAAAGGAAAAGCATTTGTCACATTGAATTAGTTTTATGGAGGACTGGCGATACATATTTTCGCAGATATGTCTACAAATGCTCTAGATGCCCAGCACTTATGCACTATAAATACTACAGTGTAAGACACTCACCGGATTATCGGCACAGCTTAGAGGACAAAGCCCATCTACACCTGAACACTGTGAAAGAGAGAGACAGATATTGAAGAAGACAGAGAAACAGAGCTGATGATGATGATAACCGTTAAAAAAACGTTTTTATGGTATCGAGATTATTCTTGTATTTGTAATGAATACATACATCTGTGTCATTCGCCTGATATCCATCCAGATAATAGGAGCAGCGGTGGAAAAAAAAGGAAAAGCGTTAATTGATATGAAATCACAGGCTCAGGACTAATAGCTTTAAACTCAACTCCTGCTTATAACATCACTGTTCTGCCTTTAAGCTATCACATGGTCTGTGTAGGCTCCTGTGTGCTTTTACTCTAGCCCTGTATCAGATGAGTATAGGGACAGGAGAAGCAGAAACAATTTCTCTCACAGGGACCTGTAAATATTTAGTATAACTACTGTCAAAGATCCTTACATCATATATCGTAATTTAAGCAATTGTGAGTCCTTCTGAGGGACCATTGTTTCCCTGTAAAGAATATTGAAACAACCTAAAGATACATTTATTTGCTCAAATTTTTAAGCATTATGTCTTTTTTATATACAGTACTCTACTGCTCAAAAGTTTGGGGTCAGTATAAAATATATTTTTTTGTTAATAAATGTTCATCGATTATGCATTCAATTAATCTTAACAGTAAAATGTAACCGTGAAGACATTTACATTATTACTAAAAAAAATTATATTTCAAATAAATGCTGTTCTTTTGAAATTTCTGTTTATCACATAATCCTGATATTGATATTTTAAATCAAAATAATATTTCACAAAATCACTGTTTTTATTGTATTTTTGATACACTCTAAAAAACACTGGGGTAAAAACAACCCAATTTGGGTTGTTATTAACCCAAGGGCTGGGTAAATATAGGACAGAACCCATCTTGGGTTAAATTTACCCAGCAAATTGGGTTGTTTATTTAACCCAGCATAATGGGTTGATTTAACCCAGCTAATGTGTTTATTCATTTTTACTATATTACTAGCTTATTTTTTACTTCATACATTAAGTAAGGTTTACAGATTAACTTGAATCCTCTAAACTTTTCTAAAATACTCCACACAACCACTGGTTTGCATGATAACTTCTTTTATTTTCCTTTATTTATCATTTACAGCATTGTTTATATAGTTTTTAATAGGCTATACATATTGCCTATATTTAAACTCGTTTAACAAACATTAGAAAAATTCAACATTAAACAGAAGTAATTCACGTGTAATCGACCAGTCTCTGTTATTCTGTTTCCATCTTAACGGCGCTTGTTCTCGTGCCCGAGCTGGAGTCATGTTCAGCGGAGGACTGCTAACGGACCGCCGCCCAGCGTTTCACTCTAGCCGAAACATGCTGTGACTCCATAACCTGCCAATAAACAAACAATAAACAGCTCTGAGGACATGTTTTAACATCCAAACAAAGTATTATATTCTGTATCTTTATGAATAAAATCATTTATTTTATGCAAAGCATCAGGCTTATACAGCACAGTAACGATTTTATAGATAAAATAAAATGTACACAAACCTGTATTTTACCGAAGAATGCATCAATTCGACGGCACTTAGAACTGCTTTCTCGTGAAGAGAAGACGCAAAATCCCCGCCATAAATAACACAACCGCTGGGTTACGTCTGACCCTGGATCTGAGTAACACTAAAACTACCCAAACATTGGGCTGTTATGTCTGACCCAGGAGCTGCAAAACAACCCAAACACTGGGTTGTTACATTTGACCCAAAAGCTGGGTAACACAAAAACTACCCAAACACTGAAAAAATAACCCCAAAAAATGACCCAAAAAGCTCAACCCAGCATTTGGGTTAAAAAAATAACCCAGGATTTTTTAGAGTGTAGCCTTGATGAGCATAACAAAATTCTTCCAAAAAACATTTAAAATTCTTTCTTTCTTTCTCTTCTTTTTACCTCATTGGCAATTTGTTTTGTTTTAGGTTAGGTTTATGCTTAAAAATGCCAGTGGGGTAGGGCAAATAAGCTTCAAAGATGTATACTCTCATAATATTTTATCTTGCATGACTTTGTTAAGCAAGTAAATTTGTCTCGTTTTAAAGAGGATGTATGTGTGCTCTAGTGGCAAAACACTCATTATTCTCAACTAGGACTAAGAATAACCTTACGCAATTTACACAGATATTAATGCCAGTCTCTCTCTCACTTCATGCATGTTTCATCTTACAGTGTGTGCTGTGTTGATGATCCTTACATATTTACATAATGGATTTGGATTTTAAAACTTCAAATATTAAAACTGTAAAAATAATCACCGTGGTGTCGTCATTATCTTTGACTTCGCTGAATAAGGCATTGGTTAATATCGCTGCAGTCAGGAGTGAACACAGACACGGTGGTAATGTGCCAGCTGAGGTGGAAAAGCGTTCAGGGAGGCATGGAAAATCCCAGGGGTATGAGAAAAAATGAATAGTGTCCTCCCTTAGGAGGATGTAGAGAGCGATATCGCCTCCGCTCCCCATTCTTTTCGAGTGCCGTCTGGACTCTCCCACCCCTCTCTCAACACTCAACATCTTCTGTTAGTATCATAAATGTCAAACAAAAGCCTGTGCCAGGAGTGTCACCACTAACATTATTGTGTTTGTCTTCACCTCCCATCACAGAATGCACACTGTTTAAACAGATAGGATGCATCCGGCCTGTATCACACATGCTTGTGTACATATCCTTGTGGAGACATCCTGTTGACATTTGTTTTATAATATAATATAATTTATTATTACATTTTACATCTGTTTAATAATACTTTTTCCAAGGTTAGCAAAACATGAACGCAGCCACAAAAATAAACATGCATAAACGGACAGCAAGCAATAAATTGTAATTGCAGTAGATGATTTGATATATTTGTTTTAGTACCTGTGTGGCTATGGACCAAAACCTTTTTTCCAACATCTCAAGAGTCATCTGTACACCAATGGCTAGACAGGAAAGGAACACAGACACATACATTAAAAAAGATAATGATTTTCATATTTATTTAGTATTATAACGTATCAAATTAAATACACAAACATGTATATGTGAATAGTTGACTGAGACATTTTTTTTTTTTTGCTGAAGACCTGTTCCATTTGACTGGAATATTATCCCAGCATGCATCAGTAGCCGCCCACTCTCACAAGCTTAAACATACAAAATGTGCTGATATCTTATGTCTCAGTCCTGATAGCTCATATATTAAACCTGATATCTCATTCCTTAACCCTATACCTCATACTTCAGTTTATTACCTTAAACCCAGTACCTCATATATCAAACCCGATACCTAATAACTCAATCTGTACATCCATGTCCCTCATAAACTGCTGCTTTTTACAGAACACGGTTTTGTTGTTTAAGGACTCTGTGTAATTAGTAGGACGGTTAGAATTTGCAATGAGCTGATGGGTCTGATTAAACTGCAGTAAATTGTTAGTTTGAGTAAAAATCCTTTAACTTCAATAATTCAGAGAGAGAGAGAGACCAGAGCAGGACCATCTATCATGCTGAAGCTAATTAATAGAGTTGGATAATAAAGAGCCAGAGAGTGGAAGGCAGTGTTGGTAATAGCTGCTCGGGGCGGGCAAGATGGCTAGCAGAGGAAAGACAATCTCTTGAATGAATAGATGTGTATTATAAAGCCCTAGACCCGGCAGACATACTGTAACAATACTGGAAGATCACAGTCACCATGTCTCCTCCAGCATCCTAAAGATTTGGACAACCCTGTAATGAAGATTACCCAAAAATAGTGATGAGCGAGCTCGCAGATGCATCCCAGCACAGTTAGAAGTGTGAATGATGGAAGACATGTGACTCCAGCAGAGCAGATAATTTAGTAAATACCCAGTTTTCTGAGCTTCTGTCATTCTCTTTTCCACACAAACATCCCACACACAAAAACAAACACAATGATGTGATACAGCATGAAGCCTCAACCAAATCCTCAGAGCGACAGCACGGCGAGCAATCAATCCTACTTAAACTGAACAGATTTTACCATTTGATGGTTAAATACAAAACCAATGGAATGTGAGGGAGAAATGTGTGAAATATATGTGGCACTTTCCATGAATAGACTACAAAAACAGAGATTGAAATTCTCAAATATCAAATATTTCCTCTCTTTCAGCAAATGATTCGTCAACCCAAGGTCAATATATAAGCTGTTATATATTCCATTCATTTAATATGAGGTTTTTAATTAAGATTTTTATAGCCCTGCTACTAATATGTAAATGCAGTTTATAATAATTTGTGTAATTTTGTTCAACAAACATAGCAATAAAGAGTAAATATCAATTCAGACAAAATGTAATAAATGAGCCTCAATGAAGCTGCTAGTTTTTAGTTACTGATAAATGCTTATTTCCCAATGAAAAAATGCAATCAATACTACAGTTTGTGTAAAAAAATGCTTTAAACTTGATTTTGTGCTGTGCTGAAAACAGGGTCTAAACTTTTTTTAAACAGAGAAATTAACGTGCTTAAAATGTGGGACCCTGCTAAATATTTGGTTTTGGTCATTATAAATTATAATTAAGAGTAAATTATTTAAAATTAGTTTGATTCATAGAAAATAGAAAATTGGGGCCAGATTTACTAAACAAGGCAAATTAGTGTTAGAGCGCAATTCCATAAAAGCGCCGATGGGAGGGGAAAATTCTGTGGGTGATTTACTAACAATGTGCACATTAAAGAACACAGACGCAGCCAGATCACTTCCATAATGACCAGCGCAATCTACCAAGAGCAGCGCAAATTACCGCCTGCTTTAAGACATGCTTTTTTGGGCGTTAAGAATAATGGCGCAAATACCAGTAATTTGATGAGCGCAAACGTTAGTAAATCATGTTGCATGATTTATTTTAATACTCTCCTCCCTTAAATTTTGCGTCTGAAAGGGAAACTCCATGCCAAGCTCCGTGTCCATGCCTTTTCAGCGCTTTTCAGAAGAAGAAGATGAACGTAAACAGTCTTTCATTTTAACACTGGACGAGGGAACACAGGAACAGACTAGAAATAAATACATTGGCAAATGAGGATAATTAACAAAACACCTGAACCAAATGATACAATCAGACAGAGACAGAAACTAGGTCAAACAGAGCACATGGGGGAAGAAAACACAACAACAGGAGACGACGGAGGGAGGAGCAAGGAGGGACTTGGGAGGAGCCAGGCAGGTCCCAGGCCACAGCCATGATGGCGGCCCACGGTGGAGCCAACGGAGGGAGGAGCCATGGTGGAGCCCGAGGTGGAGACGGAGAGCCGAAGAGCCGAAGAGCCAGGGTGATGTTGAGGATCCGGAGGGCCAAGGCGGAGAAGATGGCTCCAGCGACCGAGGCGGAGGCGGGGATCCAGAAGCCGGAGGGAATGAGGAGCCTGACAGAGCCAGAGAGATGGCGGGACGAGGCGCAGCCGGAGGAGTGGAGTCCCGAGGTGGCGGATGGTCAACGACAGACCAAGGCGGAGCCAGAGGGACGAGTGAGCCTGGCGAAGCTGGTGGACTGACGGGCCACGGCGGAGAGGAGGAAGCTAGGAGCCATGGTGGAGCCGCTGGGTCGGAGGGCCGAGTCCAGGACTCAGAGGCTGGAGGCGGAGACAAGGGATCCTCCAGCCACAACACCGATGGAGCCTGACAGACCCGCGGCGATCCCACCGCACAGATGGTGGGCTGAGGGTGAGCTGAGGGGCTGCCAGGAAGCAGCGGTGGCAGACCTGAAGAAACTGGGATGACAGGAGGAGGCTGGAGAGGGAGGCTGGGTGGGAAATCCAGACAGGTAGAGGGTTCAGGGATGGTGTGTGCCGCCCACACACCACATCGCGACTCCCAACACTGGGAGTGCGTTGGACAGGGGAACGACCACCGTGGTCGTTTCAAGACTGGCAGATAGTTCAGGGCAGACAGTTCAAACAAAGGTGGGAGAAGAGGGGGTATGTCTGCATATATATTCAAATAACAGTCCACTGAGCTCGGCTCACCCTCAGCCATGGTGCAGTAGGCGGAGCCTCCCCCCGCGCTCCCCCCGTGGAGAGCACTGTAGCCGGCTCTTGCACCTGGTCTGACGTCACGGGCTCTGGCTCCGAGGCGATCCTCAGCTCTGTCGCTCCATTAGGCGATGGCTCGTCGGTTGAGGCGAGCTCGTGCTCTCCGTCAGCGGTGGGCTCAGGCTCTTGCTCCGCGCAGCGGGGGGATGGTGGGCTGGGCTCTGGGTCTTGTCTTGTCTTGAAACATGGCATCCCTCCAGTTCAGTCCCGTGGTGTCTGGGAGGTCCACAGGGCAATGGTAATTAGCCCCGATCCGAAACAGGGATTTCAACATATTCAAAGTATTTCAATCCATACTTTTTTTTTCTCTTTTGAGGTCCAGTGTTCTGTCGGGTGCGGTGTATAATGAGCGCACGAATAGGAAGATGACAATAATAGTGTGCCAAATGTGTTGAATGTAAGTCAGAGTATAATCAGAGACAGAGAGGTGTGTGTGTTCATGAGTGTGTGAATGTGTGCTGTTTTAATAATGTAAAACAATACCTTGTTGTTTAAAAATAAGATTTGTCTGGTCGTAATAAGCTTAATGTCCAGGCCTCAGCTCGTGTGTGTGGGTTGTTGAAGTAGAGATGAACCGAGTGTGTACTTCATGTATTGTTTTAACTGGTTCACTGATCTGTGCAGTGGATTCTGCTATACTTTATGGTTTTAAGCTTAGCTTAATATGCATTTCAAATTCGAAATTATATTCATGTATACTAAATTATGCTAATGTAGTTCATATCTATTTTAATACGCCAGGACTGAACTGCAGGGTGTGTGCAATGGAAAACAGAGCAGCAGGGTCTTTACATTGCAGATTATCACGAAGAGCTCAAGTAGCATACGTTAACAGTGAGTCAAAAACACCCTCTCAATCCCCCACCTCTCTCTCTCTCTGTTTCTTTCCCTCTGTTGCTTAGGTAACATGATGTCAGTGCAGCCCCTACCGACACCTTGAAGACTCACCACCAAAATATGACACTATCCTCAACGTGAGCAGCACACACGGGATCATCAATGTACGCACCCACATGCACACTTCATAACATACCGGGCTTCTGATAAGGAGAGAAATGGCATGGTAAGGATTTAATGGAGCTGTAGTGCTTTTTCTTGTCAATGTCTGGCATGTGAAAGCATGTGGGCGGCACTGAGGTCCTTCTGAAGTACACGGTGTGTTGCAACAGCCCACAACACACAGGAGGTAAATGCTTCTGATGTCGCAGAATGCTTTTCCTCTTATAAATAGCTGCAATGAATGCATTTCTCCTTTTTTCTGAGGTGCTGGCCTGCATACCTCTATGCATTATTCAGAACACCAGGCAATAGCAGAAATGTTTGTATACGTGGATGACTTTGGTCTAGTTAGTCCATGTGAACAATGGTCAGTACATGTATGATTACATTCCTGCACTGTTGCATGATGACAGCACTCTGAGGACATCACAGAGTGTAAAATGCATCGCTACTGGCGTTGGCTACATGTGATTGGATCAATCTATCCATTCATCTATCCATGCATGCATCCATTCATCCATCCGCACATAACAAGTGAGGAAGAATCATGTTTTTTTTTTCAAATAGATTCAGATGCAGCCATTAAAAGCAGCAATAATGATCTGTTTATCTATATACATAATTGATACATTATAGGTCAGACAGATCTACATGATAGATAGATAGATAGATAGACATACAGCCAGATAGATAGATAGATGGATGGATGGATGGACATATAGATAGATGGATGGATGGATGGACATACAGCCAGATAGATAGATGGATGGATGGACATACAGCCAGATAGATAGATAGACATACAGCCAGATAGATATATAGATGGATGGATGGATGGATGGACTGACAGACAGACAGACAGACAGACAGACAGACAGACAGATAGATA